CTTTCGCTCACGAGCTTCGATGAAGGTACTTGTATCGGACTAAAATATTATAATACTTGGAGCTTTTGCTAATCAAATTAATGCTTTAGAAACAGCGAGACATTCACTATGAGCTACCCAAAGTATATTGATAGATATCATCGCGTTGACCTGTAGGAACGAAAAGAAAAAGCACAATTTTCGGCCATTTTCGGCGGCAGCAGGCAGCTGAAATGGCGATTTTCGGACTTTCCTCGATTTCGAAAAAAACTAAAGCGCTTTACGACCTTTGAATGATATTTTCGAAAACAACTCACTATAGGGGTTATTTGGGCAAAATATGGAGAAATCTGAAATTTCGCGACCGTCATCTCATTTTTGGTATCTACAGTAATTGACTCTTAAGCCCTTCAGCAGCCATTCTTAGTGCTTGCTTCTCCTTTAAGAACCTTGCTTCAACCTCGATCTAATGCTGCAGCCTTAGCCTTCGCGTCGATTAACTTTATATTAGCAGACAATGATGAGAAAAGAGAGCCCTTTGAGTGGCCACATGCTTTAGATTTCACTGAGCTCGTGTCACGTAAACCGCTACGAAGCTTCTTTACTTCGTGCAGAAAGTCATTAATTCTTTGCTTTGATCGTAACATCATTATCACGAATGTCATACCATTGATGAGTTAATTCAATTTCATTATCGTCATCCAAAGCATTGAGGTACATATCATATGCTTCTTGCATTTTCACAAACAGTTGATCTAACTGAACAACTTCAATACGCACTTGCTTTTCGTTCTCAAAATCCGCCAGCAAGGACAACATTACGTTAATCTGTTTAGTTAAGTTGCCAAGTGCAGTTTTTCGATTTTCTTTCGATTCAACCTTTGAATCTCAAATTGCCTACCCTTCTCTGTAGGAATCCGTTTCTCGCGTCCACAGCCGCTTCCACATTGAGTTTCTTGAAGGTCCACGATGCCAGTCAGCGGAGATATTGCACGTGGTGACAAGCTGTGAAGTGTCTCGAGATCCATATTCACTTGGCGTCCAAACTGTAAAAGCCGTAAAGTCCATCGTTTCTTCATCTAGATCAACGGGGGAAACGCTCGACACTCCTGTTTAAAATACGAAAGTCATTAATTCACGAGTGTTCGTACCGCTCGATACCTTTGTTTCCCCGAAGTTCCGTTACCTTGAAGGAAGCTTAATTTCAAGACCAATTTTGTGTTTGGCTTAGTCTCGTTCGACTGCCAACTGACACTGCTCGAGTCACTCTCTAAAAAAATGAAACGGCTTTTTCTTTCTTTTTCCCGCTTCTCGTACCTGTTTACAGCCTCGACAAGACCTTTTTTGTACCTTATCTTTGGCCCAGTCAAGTAAAATATTTATTATCTAAATTCTGACAACTTTCCTCCATTTTAAAAAACAGAGGGAAAGTGTTTGTTATATTGACGCCATATATATGTCTGTTCTGTCCTCTAATAGACCATAGGTGAAAACCATATCAAAATGAGAATAATTTTGAATTATTATATAAATATTAATTGATGTGTTCATTGTAGTTTGTAAAAAAATAAATAAATAAATAAATTAATGACGTCAGTTTTTCATGCGTCTGCTCAGTTATTGACAACGAATTTCTTCATAACATTGTTAAAGTAGTCTGCGGATCCACCGTCGGCTTATGGCTATCACCCTGTGGATCCACAGCTACTTTGACAATGCTATGACCAGCTTCATGATCAATAGTAAGACAGACGGATAAAAACTGACGTCAATTTGTTAAACAAAAACTTGTCTCTGCAGAGCAAACGTTCACACACCATAACTCAGTCACTAGAAGTCTTCACACGAAGAACCTGTGTTACAAGCATTCGAGTACATGGTTTATGTTTTGATGTTTCCTTCTGGGTTCAAAGGACTCGATTGGCCTCCTAGTTTCACTTGGACGTTTGACACTTCCTGTTTGGTCGTTAATTGTACCAGGTGTAGTGCAGAGGGGAAGTGGGAGGGGCGTAATCAACACCACTGAATATCGATTTAGATGCGTTTACATGCGTCATGGTAGACTCGAAAAAAATACTCCTTGTCGTCCCCAGAGCTACGCGGACCGAAGGAACGGAGATGCTCGTCGTTTTTCTTAGGGTGCAAAAAGGAGGTTTTGGAACGCATTAGTTAATTAATCAATTAGTTGATTTTTCCTGGACAAAATGTCGCCGAGTATAATAACCGTTAAAAAGTCATTTTGAATTTCAATTGACGTTTAATTTGTGATCTCCGATACCTATTGTGTTTGTGGGGTGTAACTCGATTTAGTTACCTTTGCATGCGTCGTGGAAGACTCGCCAGAATACTCCTTCTTGTCCCCAGAGCCACGCGGACCGAAGGGACGAAGATGCTCGTCGTCTTCCTTAGGGTGTGAAGAAAAGATTTTGGAACGTGATAGTTCATCAATTAGTTGATGTTTCTTGGATAAAATGTCACCTAGTATATTAACCGTTAAAAAAATCATTTTGAATTTTGACGTTTGTAATCTCCGATACCCATTGTGTTTGTGGGGTGTAACTCGCTAAAAAGTTACTGACTTTAGAACCATCCTTTTACTGTTTTGGACTGACGTTAGACGAACCGCGCCTGGATAAGAGCCCACCTGGCGAGGGGAACTAGGTCGAGGCGTAGCAGTTTATTTTCTTCCCATTCCCTTATCCTTTTTTTGTTTGTTTGTTTGTTTGTTTGTTTGTTGTTTTTTACTTTGCGGCGGCAGGCTGTGATCTTTGTTGAAATTTTTATGATTAAAAAGTCAGTGAAAAGACCNACCAGGTGTAGTGCAGAGGGGAAGTGGGAGGGGCGTAATCAACACCACTGAATATCGATTTAGATGCGTTTACATGCGTCATGGTAGACTCGAAAAAAATACTCCTTGTCGTCCCAGAGCTAAACGGACCGAAGGAACGGAGATGCTCGTTGTTTTTCTCGGGGTGTGAAAAGGAGGTTTTGGAACGCATTAGTTAATTAATCAATTAGTTGGTGTTTCCTGGACAAAATGTCGCAGAGTATAATAACCGTTAAAAAGTCATTTTGAATTTCAGTTGACGTTTAATTTGTGATCTCCGATACCCATTGTGTTTGTAGGGTGTAACTCGATTTTGTTACGTTTGCATGCGTCGTGGAAGACTCGCCAGAATACTCCTTCTTGTCCCCAGAGCCACGAGGACCGAAGGAACGAAGATGCTCGTCGTCTTCCTTAGGGTGTGAAAAAAAGATTTTGGAACGTAATAGTTCATCAATTAGTTGATGTTTCTTGGATAAAATGTCGCCGAATATATTAACCGTTAAAAAAATCATTTTGAATTTTGACGTTTGTAATCTCCGATACCCATTGTGTTTGTATGGTGTAACTCGCTAAAAAGTTACTGACTTTAGAACCATCCTTTACTGTTTTGGACTGACGTTAGACGAACCGCGCCTAGATAAGAGCACACCTGGTGAGGGGAAC